TAGAATCAATGATTACCCTAATTATATTTTAGATTTTTTATATTTAAAAGAAAATGTCTATCATTTATTTGATTATGTTTATCTGCAGTTAGTTACACGAATTTAAACATGAAACTTTAATAGATTGTACTTACGCACAATTTACTTGTAATCTTGAATTTTAAGTAATATGCATCAATAAACAGTACTTCATGCATAAAAAATGGTTTTTAAGAGTTTTTGTCAAATGTTTTATAATATAGTACAGATAGTTCGAATCTTTGAACTTTCTAAAACGACAATCCTTGACGAAGTGACCAGTTTTGCCATAGTTGAAGCACCAGTTATCTTCGACTTTGTTCTCTTTCTGGTCTCTAGCTTTAACAGACTTTTCATACTTGACTTCCTTGCCCTTGCTCTTATCAAACTTGTTGAACTTCATCTTTCCGAACTTCTTTTGGAATTTCTTTGTAAGCAGAGCAAGCTTCTTTAAGAACTCTCGAATATCATCATCGGAATCAACATCTGAACCCTCAGTAGATTCACTGTCAGATTGTTCTGATAGTTCAGACTTCAAGGACTTGGAATTCTTTGATTCAAACTTGCTCTTACCCTCCTTACCGGATAGAAGAGCCAAGGAGTCAATTATCTTCATCTTCTCATTCACCAATTCTTTCACAGTCTCTTCTTGCTCATATAAGATACTGTTAAGATTATAAATATCTCCTTCTGACATATTCTTGTTCATCTGAAGGTTGACTACAAAAATGTTCCATTCGGGCTTCAAATTCTTCAGAAAATTGTAGTTAATCTCAAACACAGACTTTTGAAGATCGTTCCTTCTCAGATCATTTAGAATGATGTTAAACCGGTTGTAGGATTCACTGATGGATTCATTCTCTTTAACCCTTAACCCCTCATAAGCACTGATGCACTGGTTCAGTCAAGTCTGCACAGATTTCTCACTTCGCAACATCTATTTCTCAAGCTCATCCCATAGTTCCTTGGTCGACCCACGACTATCAACTATGTTAAACAATTCATTTAGAATAGCCATAAGCATGTAAGTCAATACTTTTTTGTCTATCAGAATTTTTGCTTTTCTATGTCAGTGTAATACTGAGGATCTTTCTTTTTTCTTAAAGCAACAACAATAATACCCTCTGCTGTAATCTGAGCAGGAAGATCAATATAACTGACATATGGTCCTTTTCTAATAGACTGCATCAACTTCTCATCTTTATTATCCAGAAAATGAATCATTATCTTTCATTGTGGGTACTCACCAATAGCAAGAACTGGTGACTTGAAGTGATCGTTTCAAAAAATGATCTTGAACTGGTTTGGAATCTTCAAGAAAAGTCCGCTACCTGGTTAGTGGGTGGGGTCAAGGGGCAATGCCCTTGCGGAGTCTGGGGGCAGTCCCCAGAGATTTTTTTTAAAAGATGTCCCACCTCACTTCACAATAGAAAATCGCACCCCACAGTTTATCACATAAAAATTTGTCGCATCCAACATGAACATGAACACTTGTCGCATCAAATATGAAAACTTGTCGCGCCATGAAGTTTGTCGCATTCAACTTTGTCGCATCATACAAGTTTGTCGCATCAAACATAGAGTGAACAGTAACTTGTCGCATTAAACGGGTGCAATAAGTTCAACTTCTCGGGTCCTTCTATGTGATAACCTTGACTTCTCGGGTCCTTCAGATGGGATAATTTTGACTTCTCGGGTCCTTGAGATGCGATAACTTCAGCTTCTCGGGTCTTTGAGATGCGAGAACCTGGGTTGCCGGGTCCATTTAATGCGATAACTTTGACTTGTCGCATATAACCGATACGATGACTTTGAATATGCATGATGCGATAACTTCAGATATATATACTATGCGATAACTTTGAAGTTCATCCCAAAAATCTTCAAAACTCAAGATTTTGAATTGAAATTTTGGAATAGAGTTCGAATAACTACCAGAAACAAGTTTAATTCTCAAAGCAACACTAAATTTGAACAAAAATTATACTTTTGATCAAGAAACAGAAAGCAGAGTTCAAACTTTCAAAATACGATCTAAATTGATTCCTAACACATTCAATCTTTTTCTAATTTACTCTGATACCAATTGTAGGTCCCAGATTCAAGTCATGAACAATTAAGATCAAGATTCAAGAGCATATAATTGAATATTGAATTGTCGGATGTATATTGATACGTCAAAAGTACAGAGTGTTGTTGATGTCTACAAAGATATTGAGTAACTGCTTCTTAACTGCTAACTAACAAAACTAACAAGGCTACCTATTTATACCCCTTTATTACAAAGCATTAAACAAATTACAAAGCTTGTAATGACCTAATTACAAAGCATGTAAAAAGGATTTTAGCACAAGGACTTAAATACAATATTTTTAACTCAACACATTTGTATCATTACTATACCTTAACACCTAATATATAGCACTTAAACATTAAAATAATCATATATTTAACTTAAATAAGCTTAATTGAAAAGTAGATGTCACAGGTAGTGTTGTAACTTTTACAAATAGGCGACAAACAAGTGCATATGTGAACATTTGTGATTCACATACAAACTGTTTAACTGATTCACACATGAACCCGTACGATTCACATATGAACCCGAAAGATTAGTTATAATTCATATGAACTATTTAATTAATCATACATGTTTATATGTGAATAAGTTAAATAGTTCATATTTGAATCACATGGTTTACATATGCATAGATAGTTCATATGTGAATCACACGGTTTCACATATACACTTGTTTGCCGTCTATTTGTAAAAGTTACGAAAGTACCCCTCTATTTTTCAAATAATGTTACCATTCCGCAAATCTAACCAGTCAAAGCTGCAAATCTTGAGATGAAGGGTTAGGATCATTTCTTTACTTTTCAAATACTTACCACTTCTCAAATAAACATATGGCTACACACACACACACACACACACACACACATATATATATATATATATATATATATATATATATATATATATATAACCTCATTTACTCCATTCTCTCAAATCCTAACTTGCAATTTTTCATTCTCATTCTCTCTCTAGACCTGGTAACCAACCTCACACGTATAAAACTGTTAGACCCCATAATTCTTATGTGTAAAAGTAATGAAGAAAAACAAGTGATGAAGAACCAAAATGGCTAAGTCCTCAGTACAACCAGAGGGTCGATGGATCGACCAGAGGTGCGATGGATCGAGCATCTTCATAGCCCCTCTGGTTACCAACACTTGGAGTTTTCCACAATAGTTCAACCATAGGCATCATGAAGATATCAAGATAAGGTTGAATAACGTCCCATGGAAGACAGCTGGAGATGACTAATCGACAGCTGGATTCTACAAAGTTTATCTCGTTTTGTTTATTATCCATGTCTACATAAGATTTATCTTTCCTAGAAGATTTGCTAGATAGTCTCTCTAGATAGTTATATTCTTGTTTAGCTTTCTAGTATAAATAGATGTTAGGCTTATTGTAATCGGTTAACGCTTTGAACACTTTTCATTATCATTTTGGAATAAAGTGAATATTCCGGCACTCAAGTATATTCTTTGAATATTCATATTTTGTTCTTGAGTGTTCGTCATTTTATTCATTCACACGACATAGTTAGGTTATTCTTAATTTAATTATTAGTGTTGTTGAGAGATCTGAGATAAACAAAAACACAACACAAACACATATACATAAAACAATACATACACACACTACTACAATATTTTAAGTGGGTTTTGGTAGTCAAAGTCAACCATATCAATATGCTTACAAATGAGGAATCAGGCCAAGAGGATGATATAAAGAATTCTTCTTGATTTTCCAAAAATATCTTCTTGAAATCAGAGCAGTAACTTAAATGCAATTTTTGGATGATTGTGTTAAAGATGTATGGACCTATAAGTGAGGAAGAGAGAAGTGGAGAAGAAGGGGACTATTATAATGCTTTGGTTATAATCTTGGCTAATAAAATAGAGCACAATGATACCTGAATGGACTTTGATGCTTCTAATATTGTTTTTAGAATATGAAATTTGATTTACCAAAAGTAAAACCTAAATAAACTTGAATCTATTTTAGTTAGGACGTACAAGAAAGTTTCTAAACCATTTTTCCAAACATAGAAACTTGATGAATGATGCATGAACGAAACTTCGAGATGGTGAAGTTGTTGGAAAGTGAAAACACATAGTGGTGCAAATTTGAATGATGGTTGAAGGGGTGAGAACGTGAAGTAGTTGCAAGTCTGGAGATGGGGGGAAGGGGAATGATGGTGCATGTTTTGAAACTTTGGGAACATATCTCTCTCTCTCTCTATGAGATAGAGAGAGGGAGAGGGAGAGATTTGGGGGGAGGAGATGGAGAGCGAGCGGTGTTGGTGGTAGACAGACATAGCCGGTGGGAAAGAACGCCATTGGTGAGAGAGAAGAGTAGTGACATGTATTTTAGGGTTGGGAGACGAGAAGTGTTTTCAAGGGGGGAAGATGAACCTTGTCTTGATATACATATATATATACACACACACACACTAATATATCGTGTATATATATAATAATAATACAAAATATTTAAATAAAGAAAAAAGTAGTAAATTCACCATTTTGTCCTTGTGCTTAATGGAAATAATAAATGGACCAAATCCAAGAAAAATTCCATATGTGAAGGATTCTTTTGTAATAAATGACAAACTTCAGGGGCCAATTCCATGATTTACTCTAAAATCTATGACATATCTGTATCAAATAAAATCCAGGGACCAAAACCAAAATATTGAGAAAACCACAGGGGCCAAAATTGTAGTTTACTCTTACCTTTTTATCTAGGTAAACACGCCCGTGTGATTTAACTCGGTCTGAAGAAAGGGGAAACAAAGTTTATAATATAGTGCTCGAGATTACAAAGCAAGGTTTCAAAGATCAAATTTGTATCGGGATAGACAAGGAGATGGGCCGACTGCAATGGATGGAAGCGATGCTGCCATTAGGGATCATCGCCGGTATGCTTTGCATTGCCGGAAATGTTCAGTATACCATTCACAAAGCTGCTCATGGACGTGTGAGTCCATTTTTTAATGTCAGATCCTTTCGTTGATTCTGTGGTTTTATAAATTCATGTTTTTGTTGGATGACAGCCGAAGCACATCGGTAATGATATGTGGGATGTGGCCATGGAAAGACGGGACAAGAAGATCGTCGACGAAAAACTCTCTCCTGCTGCTAATTAGGGTTTTTCTCCTTCTGGTTCTATTTCTAGTCTATCTTAACACAGATCGTTTGCTTATAACTCGATTTTCTCGAATTATGTGGTAAAATCCATCTTCAGCTAAGTTCAAAATTTAGGGGTTTAGTTTGATGCTACTTGCAAAATTGCAATCTCTATTTGTCGAATAAGAACCAGGAGAATTTGATATTACCAATAATGTTGGGTTTCAGCTCAACTTTCTTTAGGATATGTGAATACGTGATGTTGTCTTACTGTCGGTTATATAGTTTTGAAGCTCGCCATTGTTCCTTTGGTTTTTGGAACTAGGCTATGTGCTGTTATCTCACTGGTACTACAGTTAAATGATTGATGGCCTCAAGTTTTGATATTTAACATTAGGCACAACATGAATTGAAGAATTTAGGAACTTCGCTTATCTCATCAGATATTAGGGTCTTTGTTCTAATAGTTGGTAAAACTAATCAACTCTTTTAAAGTATTTACCCTAAACGTATGGTGGCATTCTGGAGTTGAAATTCTCAAGTCCTGTGAGAAATTCTACATATCCTTGGCCAATTTTCTAAGAAGACTAACAAACTGTTGGTCGTTTGCTTATCCTTTTAGCCAAGCTAACAAATGTTTCACGTTCTACTCTAAGTCATTTTACATGACCAAAAAGATTACACTATTGAATATGTGACTTAAAAACTAAAGATACCTTGAAAATCGATTTATAGTTTAGTAAAAACAACATTATCAAATTTCCTTTCCAATATTTCATCCCCTACTAGCCCATGTACCCGTTCCACCAAAGGTTGCAAGTTATTGTGAACAATGAAAATTTCAATATTGTTTGTCTTTGGTTAACTTTATTTCTCCATCTTTCTTAGCAACGAAGTCGTCCTTATGAGGTCACAGAACACATTACACACATTAAAAATGCCCTTGGCCCTCCCTTCAAAATCGGTTGACTGACTTTACTTTATAATTGAGTATGGTTTGTCGTTCATATGTTCAAAATCTGACTTATGTATGCGTTTATTTGAAAGGTAGTTAGATATTTAACAGATGGTTAAATAAATATCTGTTCTTAATTCTTAACTTTTTTCCCTTTAATTGATATTTTTAAAGTAATTAGGAAAATGTTTACGGAATGTATTTGTAAGTACAATAATATCATTTCCAATGTATTGCCTCTAGATTGGTCATCGACCATGACCTATGGAAGAAAAGATAAATCAGTGGTTGATCTAGATTGAGTTCGAGATCAACTTGAGCTCGAGTAGCTCGTTAAAAGCTCAAATTGTTTACACCCCTAGTGGTAACTGTGGGTGTTCGGACTAGCTTTTGCATACCTCGACTATTTCATGGTCCCCTAAAGATAACATCTAGGAAAAATCCCCCGTGGCCATAAGGACTGAGGAGACTCGAAGAGGCAACCTATGTAGAGGAGCCCCAAGGCCTGCTCTTTATTTGTCAGTTGAGCCGTTTTCAGTCACATACTTGTTATCCATATACAAGGAAAATTTAAGGGGCCGTTTGGTTCGCGGAATTCGAAGGAATTTGATAGAATTGGAATGATAAATTCCTTTGACCAAATTCCAATTCCTTTGTTTGGTTCATTTCTTGAAATGGATGGAATCCTTCAAATTCCAATGAATTCC